GACACCAAGAGCTCAAAAATCATTTTTGCAACGTGTTTTCGAGCCCTTACTTCCAGTTTATTCCCATTCACTCCTACGAACAGTTCTGTAGCCCTAAATTTTTCACCCCGTATTTTTAGCATTTTCACCTGACCCCTAATTGGCAAAAAGGGCTGACGTCTGTCGTATCGTGGCCCCCTTTCAAAACGAGAATTGTAAGGGGGCAGATTAGCAGCCACTACTAAAACACATCCCCCCCCCTTGCTGTCTATAGGAGTGCAACGTCGTCTCCCCAGGGGCAAAAAGTATGAAAATTGGCCGGCGGCGTGGGGGATTAAAGGGATCGATCTCATCTCCTGGTGGGGGGGGGGGTTTCCTCGCAAAAAAATGGACGGCCGATTTTTGAATGGCCAGTTGAACTTTGGGTCTGGTTCTTGTGGATTAGCGGGGGGGGTGATAATCCGCTTCCGGATTCCGCTGCCTAGATTCCCCACCTATGGGTTGCAAAGTCGGGTGAGAAAGTAATTTGCATAGACGTGAAAAAATTGAAAAAAGCAGGTTATCAGGACCTCAAATGGTCTCTGCTAGCTAACCATGAAATTCCACCAGGATATTTGCTAGTTAGCTGCTTCTTCGCTTCCCAAAAACCGGTCTTGATTTCCGAAAAATCTTTGCTAGCTTTCCCTAATTTCCGATTCCTCAGAAAATCTCTGCTAGCCTGCCCTCGATCACAAAGAATCTGTGCTAGCTAGCCATAAATTCCCAAATTGTCCATGCTAGCCTTTCCTGTCCCCAACCACTCGATTCCAGCGATTTCCGATGTGACAACGGAACGGGCAGCTCTTCCGGCCCGTCATCTTCGAGCTGTTCACCATCCTCCAGCGATCACAATCAGCATATTCTACAGCACACCTCAAGTACTGGTCGGTTCCCAAAGTAACTATGCTCGTTGACCTCTGCCCTGCCCATAGCCAGGTGGCTAAGTGGCTTGCCTGCCAATCTGATGGTCCGGGTTCGATTCCTGCGGCCGACAAACCTTTTTGCGCCTTGCTCCTGAAGTGCAGCGCCTTTAAAACAACAAAAAAGTCTTAAAATCGAGCAATTTCTGCAATTTTCTCGGCTAGTCTGCCCTAGTTTCTAAACCATGCGCTGAATACCGTAACCGGATCTTCAGACTCTTCCTTAGACGTCGTCAACCACATGATCAACACGGCACAGCTGAAGACTGAACCCCTCGAGAACTACGGTCTACCACAACTCATCGGTTCGATGCCGATGCATTTGAGTACGTTTTTCGACTAATTACGGTTGGGTTACTGTGGGTACAGTAACAAGAAACGTTCAAATCCGTCGCAAAAGCTTTCAAAATCCAAAAGCAAAAGGTTGGCGCGGAGGGGGATTCGAACCCCCGATCCCAGGTTGAAAAAATCGCCTGTTATCCACTGCGCTAGCCGGTTGTCGCCGTCCTAATGGATCCTTCAGCGATTTTTTGATCAAAACCCAAAAAGCAAGAAGTTAGCCGCGGCAAGGATCTGGGTTTCTAGCCTCTTCGCTCCGCTAGCCGACTAGCTTCAATTTAATGCTTTTTTGATCGGCATTCCGGTTCAAAAACCAAAAAGCAAAAAGTTCGCCCGGACAGGATTCGAACCCCCAACCCTCAACTTGAAAATAAGGTTTCTAACCACTAGGCGAAGCTGCTCAAACCCGTTTTTTCAGATCCATACCCTTCACAGAACCAGGGTGGCTTGGGCCCACGGAGCAGCATCGATGGCCTCCGACAGTCCAATGGCAACCCGGCATCTGTGGTTCGTTGTTTTAATTTTATTCGGTTTTAGCCTTTTTTGCTTTCCAAGCACCTTTAAAATAAGAATTTCGCGGTTGTAGGAATGATGTAAGTATTTTTTAGCAAAGCCGCCGGTCTCGCAGCTCTAACGACGGCATGTTCAAGTGCCAGTTTTGCCCGAAAAAGTGGACCGATGACGCGCTGGTGGGTTTTAAAGGGACGGGCAAGGCAGGCAGGGCAGGCTAGCAGAGATTCTTTGAGGAATCGGAGGGCAGGCTAGCAGAGATTCTTTGAGGAATCGGAGGGCAGGCTAGCAGAGATTCTTTGAGATTCCTTAAGGGACAGTGACTTATTCTATATTCCAGCTTCAACAGCATATGAATGATTGTCGACTGATTCGCGTCCATGAATGCCAGCAATGCGGCAAGAGATTCAAGGCAAGAGGAGGGCTTCAGCAGCATATGAGGTAGCATTTTTCGGCTGAAATTCGCATATTCAGGCTTTACTTCTTGCTTCAGAGCGTTCGCGAACCACTAATAAGCTCGAAAACCAAAAAGCAAAAAGTTTGTCACGGGCGGGATTCGAACCCTCGACCCCTGGCTTGGGAGATTACACCACTAACCGCTACGCTACACATTCTCATTAATGAATAGCCCGCATGTAGTTACGTCCAAAACCCAAAAGACAAAAAATTTGTTACGGGCGGGATTCGAACCCTTGACCCCCAGCTTGTCAGTCCAGCTCACTAACCACTTAACCACCCCTAAAAATGCAAAAAACTTTTCCGACGCTCGGCTAATTTCAGATCTAGAATCCACTCGAGCGATCGACCATATGCATGCACGTTTTGCGCCAAACGCTTCACTCAGAAGAGCCATGTTGATCAACACGAGAGAATTCATACTGGTTAGTTTTTAAAGTCACTTCAAAATCGCTTTAAAGCCGAAAGTTGACCCCTTACCTGTCACTCCCCCTTTAAAGGTATCAAACCGTTCATCTGCCAATATTGCGGCCGTGCATTCCGACAGCGATCCCAGCAATTGGGCCACGAGGCAACGCATCAACATACTGGCACAAGGGGCCATAGACGCGCACACACGGATGATGAGGTACGGTAGAAAACCACAAAAAAGAGGGAGAAACGAAAACTAGAACTTATTACGATGAAAAAGGACGATTTTTACTCATGGCCGAGTGGCTAAGAAAGTTGTCGACTAAACTAAGGGTCCGGGTTCGAATCCTGGCTCGGCGAATTTTTTGCTTTTTCGAGGAATTTGTTGATGGCTTTTAGAAGCCCTTAAGAAATTTAAAACGTCTAAATCGGTTATTTAGCCTCTGAAAATCGATTTTATCAACATTTTCCAGCAAAATCACCGCTCGACCGCCCAGTCGAATCAGCATCAACAAAACCATCAACAGGTGCAACAGCAGAATCAGCAGAATCAGGTGAGAAAAAGAGCGGGAGAAACAGATAGAGAGAGAGAGTGAGTGAGTGATAGAAATTTTGTTATACATTACACTCCGTCATTCCAGCTGGACACCTCGGCCCTAGATTCGATGATCCACAATTCCCTCCCCTCAATGGTTCAACAACAAAATAATGGACTTCTTGGCCAGCAGAACCGTAAGCATTTCAGGGCATAATCCATTCCAAATCCACATTTTCTCTGCCTTCCCGGTCCCTTTAATCCAATCCATTTTAGTGTCCGCCCAAGCCCAAAATGGACTCTCCGCCCCGCCGTTGAACAATCTGTTCTTCTCGGCAAATTGCGCCAACAACGCCATGTCGTCATTGTTGGCGCTCAGCCAGGTGGGAGGAGGGCACGTCCCCTTTTTCGCTTAAACAAACGGCCATTTAAAATATGCATAACACCGGCAAATTCTTCAAAGAATCTCTGCTAGCCCTCCCTCCGATTCCTCAAAGAATCTCTGCTAGCCCTCCCTCCGATTCCTCAAAGTTCAAACCTGCCTCCCAAAATTCTTAAAAATCTCTGCTAGCCAGCCCTCCGATTCCTCAAAGAATCTCTGCCAGTCTGCCCTCCGATTCTTCAAAGAATCTCTGCAATCTCTCTCTTTTTCAGAATATGCAACAACAACAGCCCGGCTACGGTAACAATATGAATAATATGGCCCTCGGTATCATCAATTCCATCCAATAATAACCCTATTTTTTTATTTGTCATTTTTGCTTTTTTTCCCCTCGTTTCCCCGTGGTACAGTGTGATCTTTTCGAGCCCCCCATAACCCCGGTAATTCGTTTGTTTTTGAGTATTTGAATCCTCCGGTGTTATCCAATTCACAAGCTATGCGCGTATATTTAGGAATCCGGTGTCTCGCCCCCACTAGTCGACAATTTGTATACGATAATTCTTGTTATAATTTGACCGTATGTAACGATCATCCGCTTTTAAAAGGCTCGGAAAGCCATTTAAAAAATTTGGCGCCCTGGCCGAGTGGCTAAGAGCGCCGTCTACTATGCTGTGGGTCCGGGTTCGAATCCGCCCGGCACGAAATTTTTTGCTTTTTGCTCCAGGCGTCCAAAATGGCTTTCCGAAACCTTAAAAATATTTAAAAGTTTTATTTGTTGTTTCTCGACGCTGAAAATTGCCTTGAATGGCCTTAAAAATAGGATACTGGAATTTTTGCCAAAAAATCTTCTTTTAATGGCCATTGAAGCGAGGCGTTCTCCCCTGTGTATTTTGGCCATATTGGCCATGGATTTGTACCTCGTTGTCCGTTTTTAAAGGGGCCGGCAAGTCTAGGAGCTTGTGGATTTTGGCTTGCCGGCCCCCTTTAATTTTATATGTACCAATTTTGTTGCCCAGTCTATATAGCTAGTCACAAATGCTGCGCGATGAAGTGAAGCTTTTAGGTGTTGCTTATCCGGTGAGGCAAAAATAGGAAAAAGGTGGTTTTTAAAGGGCCCCGCCCCTTTAAAGGGACGGTGACAGGGAGAGCGAGAGAGAGAGAGTGAGAGAGAGAGAGAGAAGATCGCTGTCCCCCTCCAATCCACCGGTCGCTGGTTCGACCACCGGCCGCGGCGGGACCCTTTTTGCTTTTTGCCCTTGTCACCCAAATTTAGTGCGTTGCTTGTTGCTGACCGTAGTGATCTCGAGAAATCTCTGTAAAACCTGCCCCGGGGGATACGGTAGGGGTACGGTATGTAGCCAAATTTCATTTTTCATTTACCGTAGTTTCGGTACGGACAAAGGTCATTTTTCTACAACATCCAGGCTTACGGTAGCTAAAAAGGTCGTTTTTGTAGCATTTCCCGGTTTTGGGTACAGTAAGACGCTTAATAATGTAATTTTTGAAGTTCTCATCTTATTTCCGGTGAGATCACGGTAGCAAGGAGAGTCATTTTTGCGATTTCTATCGTATCTTGGGCTACAGTAATTCGCCAAAAGGACATTTTTCACTATGCCGTCATTTCAGCGCCGCATTATCGATAGAAATGAGGCTTTTTGATGTCCTCCTATACCGTACTCTTGAGCTACTGTATCCCCAGCTTGTCCAAACTATAGAATTGCGATAGTTATTCATCTTTTTCTAAATATCGATTGTGTGGTACTGGGCTGTTAGCGCGGGGGGACCAAATCCCAAAATCTCCAAAATTAGAATGTTTAAAAGTCTTTTCTACTCTTTAGCAATCCAAAAAAATACCAAAAACGCTATAAAATATATGATATCTTAATAACAGGGCTCGTATCAATAAACGTTGCCCCCGCTAGCAGCCCAGCACCGATTTTGTTAATGCAAATTGTCCGTTCTCTCTCGCCCCAAACGGTTAGCCCCCCATTTGAATGGAGACGTGTTTAGAATATTATTTTTCTTGTTTTGCTATTAAATTTATTGTTTTTTTTGGCTGTTTTCTATTTTGTGTGTCCCCGCCGATCGATTCGTCTAATGATAATTGTTGGAGATAGCCAGTATTAGCAATTTATAAGAACCAGCAAAAACCCCAATTTCTTTGTGTGTGTCTTTTGGTGTCGAGTGTACACGCGGTGTTCCACAATGGAGTACAATAAATTGAGACAGGCTTGTTGTGAAAAATCAACATGGAAAGGGGCATTAACAGGGAGAGAGAGAGAGAGAGAGAGAGAGAGAGAGAGAGAGAGGAGAGAAGGGAACGAGAGAAAACGAGAGAAGGGATAGCGAGAGAGAGAGAGAGAGAGAGAGAGAGAGAGAGAGAGAGAGAATGAGGGAGGGAGAGAGAGAGCGACAGAGCAATTTTCTCACGAAAGTCGACATTAGGAAAAATCGCTCGCCGCTAACATAATAATTATAGCCAAAATCCCAAACATTGTTTTTAAATGTTCTATGTTTTTCACGTCACATTTTTTGAATGTTTTTATTGGCAATCTACCCGGAATTGGGAGGCGGTAATGGAATGACAATCTGAACTGTACGAAAGCATTCAGTAAAGGGAACAAATTAGTCGGGAAATGGGGGAAAGGCATGCTAGCAAAGGTCGTTGGGGGAATCTAGAGGTTAAATGGGGGAATGTAAATAGATCAACGGCAATCAAATGTATCGGTGAAATGTATGTATACAACGAATATTGTCGGAAAACAACCGGGAAACCATTGATGGGGGTTGTTAAGGGCGAGGAAGTCAGATGAGTAGGGGGCGAACAGACGGGCCAAATCCACGGTGCCGTACGTGTTCTTCTTCAGCCGTTCGCGCACCATCCTGAACATGTCGTCGATCAATGTCTGCAGCGACGAGGCCGTGATGCAACCTGAAAAAATACAAAATATCTAAATTTACTTCAATTTAATTAATAAAATTAATAACCTTAGAAAAAATCCCCCTGATAATGCAAAAGAACCAATTAGTAAATTTCTTACCATTCTGCGCAGCGGTGAGTCGCGTCTTGGCCCCGTCACGGTCGACCATTTGGCGGAAGAAGCGTTGCTGACGGTAGAGTTGAGCCGGAGTATACTAGAAAAAAGAGATACTTAAATCAAAACTAAAATAACCAAAAAATCAATATCAATAGATTCAACAAACCATTCTCCTCATCGTGCCATCGTTACAGTCGAGATTCGGGCACAGAATTGTCCCATCACCCATCGGCTTTAGGTCTTCGCCTTCCGTCTCGCACACCTGCAAAATCGGTTGCGAATCGAAATACAAATAAATAAAAAGGTAAATAATTACATAAATATCAATAAATCAAATAGCATTCATTGGGAATCGAATTATGCTCCTTACATCGCACTTGTACTTGGCGGCATTGTAGAGCTTCTCAAAAGCGTCGAGCTGTTCCTCGAATGCCTTGGTGATGTAGTCGGGGCTGAATGACAGCGATCGGGCACACTTTTGGCATGACTCGATCGACAGACGCCATTGGCCCTTCTCTGTCTGAAAAAAAGAAGATTTAAAAGTAGCTACAAAACCGTCAAAACGGTTTTCTATCAGTAAAACCAAACCGAAAAAACTTACCCTAACCAGCGAGGTGATCTCGTTCTCAAATCCACATTCAGCATGTGGACATACAATCTTGAAGGGTTCACAGTTGTCGAACGTCTCCTCGACCACGTGTGCATGTTGATTCGAGTGGCCGGAACGCTTGAATTGTTGCGGGTCGAGGCCTGAAAAAGGCAGTTTTCGCTCAAAAATTACGCAATCTGCGTATTCAAGGGTTTTCACGACCAAAAGCGGCTAGGGGACATCGCGCCGGACACTTCGCGGGCGGCAGTTTTTCCGCTACTTTCTATTAAAAATAATGAAAATTAAACGCACCCAACGCCTGCGCAATCGTCGCTGGATCGGCTTCTTCGATCGGCTCACAAAGACGTGAGATGACGGGGTGCAGTTGATTGGCAAGATAGTATTGGATATCTAAAAAAACATCAAATAATGCCTTTTCCTAATAGAACTAGAGGAAGCGTTTCTACCCTATTTGCTCTTTTTAAAACGTACAATAAAAAAAATGATTAAAAACCATTTTCTACAAAAATGCCAAAATTTCGAAAGTTTTCTAAGTCACCTGTAGGAAATGCTTTGGAACTATGTTGGGAAATATTAACACAGCTAAAACCGTACCAATCTTGAGCGCCGGATTGGCGTCAAGCTCCGAAGAATGGTATGCTCGTTGAATGGCCGAATTGGCAGTCCCATCCTCGCAAATGATATACTTGACAATATCGTCCCTCTTCATCCGGAAACGACCGGTCGAATTCAGGCGAAGGGCCACCGAGACGTGTGGCTGCGATTTGACGTCGCCGTACTGCTCGGGATCGCGTTTCAATTGCTAAAAAAATGATAAAATGTAAATTGACTTGATCGATACCTTCAAAATCTCGTAATCTTCCTGTTTCACTTCACCGGCTTCAATTCGGGCCCTGAGCAGAGCCAGTGAATCTCGAATGGCCGCCACGAGCTCTTCTCTCTCCAATTGTGGGTCCAGGATCAGGTCGACGATTTTTCTAAAAACATTGATAATAAAAATCACTCTAAAATAAAGCAACAATTAAAAATTATTGTGATATCCCTAGGATAACACTCTATTATTCTACTGGGATAATATACCCGATATGACAGGTTAATAAAAACTGAAAATTATTACAAATGATAATCAAACACCAATTTCGCTTCAACCGAAAAAATCACGATTTTTGACCGTCTCACCAGACTTTATACACAAAACTACAGATTTTCCTCGATATTGCAAGGGCACCAAACCGTCCCAAACCAAAAAATCGGTCAAAACCCACGTTCCCTCCTTTTTGGCGATATCGGCCCAGTCCCTTCGGACGATATCCAGCCCCTTCAGCTCCTTCTTTTCGGCCTCCGTGTCGAGGTTGATCGTCAACGCCGCGTATTTCTTTTTCTTGAGCAGCAGCATGCGCCTGAAGACACCGTCGAGGTCGAGTTCCAGCAGCTTGTGGCATTGGTTCACTTGTTTCTTGATCTAAATCACGGGTTTTAGGAAAATAGACAATAAGAAAACCGACATCATAGCCAAGCTTCTTGGCGGCTTTGAGTTCTCGCGTGTTGGTGTTGATCATAATCGAGTCGGTGTCGCCGTAGACGACCGTGTAGCCGAGACGTTCCACCAGGTCCTTCGTCTGCGTCAGAATCTGAAAACGGAAATCATCTATTAGCCTAAAAGTCCCAAAAACTAAATTATGTTTTCTGGACCAAATTTGGTGATTAAGTGGGTTAGAACGGTCAGCAATTTGCCAAAAATATAAGCGTCAATTCTATACTTATTCATTTAGAATCGAAAAATAAAAAATATATTTGCCCTTCTGCTCTTTAAAATGGTATAACTAAAGCTCTACCTCTCGCCCCTTCGACGTGACAAGTGCGGCGAGGGGTTTCGCGTAAAGCGCGACATCTGGAACCCCAGACACCCGTACATGCTGTTGGCCGTTAGTTTGAGCGCCATTTGTCGAATGTCCAGCTGGAAAGTGGGCCTTCGAAAGGGATATGGGAAACGGGAAACCTGCTTCTTCTCGGCATCATCCTTTGCCGTCTTGATCATTGCCTTCACTTGGCGACGGCGTTCGACGAGGCCTCGAAGCTCTCGGGGAGGATCCCCTCGGCGAGTGTCTGATTTGGAGGCTCCGGCAGATCGTCAGAGTCCTAAAAATCAGAAAAAGTGAGGAATATCTCGAAAAATGGATACCTTTTGCGTGTAGTTGACCGTGGAGAAGCAAATGTTGTATTCTTGGATGATGGACGGGTAAAGAGAGTTAAAGTCGAGGCACAAAATCATCGTGTCGTACAGTCCGCGCTTCGGCTCGAGCACCAGACCCCCCGAATATTGCGTCTTTTTCTTGTGGTCAGCTTCGGCGGGGTGAGCAGCGCCAGGGCCGTCCTCTTCTTCGTCACCCTCGTCGTCCTTCTTCACGTGCTTCTGCGTGGCCGATTGCTGCGTCGATTGCGTGTCTGAAAAAGCACGGGTTTAAAAGCAAAAAAAAAATTAAATAGAATAAAACTAAAATTCCGCACCTTTATGCTTAAATTGCGACTGTGCCTTGTCCGGGGAGATCATGTCGTTGCGGTGGAAGGCGTGAAGCAGATGGAACTCGTTGCGCTCGGCTCGGCCGCCCATCAAAGTGCGAGACTAAAAATGAGGTAAAACTAGCCAGAAAAAATGTCGAAAATACCGTGACGCCGCCGACGACATTGGTGATCTGGAAAGCGAGAGGCAGCGCGTTGACGTGGGCGGCGAGTTTGACCGTCCACCGGCTCTCGTTCCACGAATTCTTGATCAGCTTCAGCAATTGGGTGGAAGTGCTGGAAAGGGGCGATAATTGGGGGATAATAGAAGCAGAAAAACAGCACTTTTTTCTTATTTTAAAACTGCTAATTTCTTCTACAAAATGCGTATAAAAAGGACAAAAAACTGACGCATAATATGCGGGGATGTCACCAGGATCTGGGAGGGCAGCGATGCGGGCATTCAGCAGACCCTCCACCAGCTCCGTCAGCTCATAGCTTCGACAACGGACCAGCTCCATCGATGAAGTCCTGAAAAGCACGTTTATGTTTAGACACGAAATAACAGGCCATTTTTATAGTATTTTTCGTAAAACGTAGCTATTTCAAAGCAGGATAACCAATTAAAAAAACCTGGAAGCCTGTTTAAAAATTTGAGATCTCGCGAAAAAAATCGATAATTTCCTCTTTTAATAAAAAATTGTGCTTTTCACGAATTTAGATAGTAAAAAAACGTGTAGAAAGAGTTCCCCTTATCATAAAAAAAGCATGGACAATCTCTTGACACCAGAATCAGAGGCAGATAGCTTAAAAACCAAAACTCACTTTGTGTCCAGCACCAGCCTTCCGACGGTCATCTCCGATTGTGCGGCTTTAGTGTGCGCGATCTGCTTGAGCGGGATGCTGCGCTTCAACCGTCCCATGAATGGCCACGTCTTGATGTCGTGCTTGGCGAGTCGGGCCATCAGACGGTTGATGGTCGCACTCGCGTCGTGACCGACGATCAGATCCGGTCGAGGCGCTTGATCGTCGCCAGCACCTGGGGAAAATTATCGTCAAAAATGAGCGGTAAACAAAAAACTTTTTTTTTGGCAATTTCAGTACGGCACGTCAAAAAAAAACTTTTAAAATTTGATAAAAAAGTTAGGATTCGACTAAAATTTCAAACTGTCGTTCATCCGACGGGCTTTGACCCAAATGGGTAAATTGAAAACGAATAATTTAATTTAAATATTTTTACCATTCTGAACCGAAAAACTACGAAGTAGATCAAAAACCGCTAGATATCGATCGACCAGAAAATTGCCGATTCGGTCCAAAATTAAAATTTTCAGCAATTTATTTAACTATTCCAGATGGCCTGGAATTGAAAAATCGCTAAATTTTATCAAAAACACTATGGTAATCCTCGTATGACGTTGCTAGTCATATTTCGGGTTCACAGAAAAAAGGCAGTACTAACGAACCCCCAAAACTCACCATATTGAGAAGCTGTTTTTCGTGGGGAACCAGGGCCACGGAAGAAGATGGCATCCCCTCCTCGAGAAGCCGCTTCTTCGTATCCATGGGTGCCGGATGATCGGGTGGGGAGCAGAAGAAGGAGAAGCGTTGACACTTTGTCGGTTCGGCCGTCAGTCCGTCCACGGGCGCCTTGTTGTTGACGAGCAGCGATATCATGCAGATCTCATTCTCGCGCTTCTTGTTCAGCGCCGTCAACACGTTCACCGCCATCATTCGAAGAGGCGGGGTGGGGGCCTGAAAAGGAGAGCTACTAGAAAGCTCAAAAACCCGTACCTGTACCGAATCGCTGACATAGGCAATGTCCTTCATCCGCGTCATGTCGACGGTGAACTCGTACTTGCAGTGCGAGACGCGCGCATCACTTGGCACTGAAAAAATGGGGTAAATTTGTGGGACAAAGGTGTCCAATCGGCAGCCGAAAAAGTTTCCGGCGCAGTTCTTCACGCTGTGTTCGAATTTTGGACTTTTAGACATCGCAAGCAATTAAGTTTCGGCTAAAAACGACGAAACTACCCCTACAAAAATGACACGCGAAACATTTTTACGGGTATTTTGATGACGCTTGTGGCCTGAAAGCGTGAAATTTGAAGCTAGCGCATAGGACTACCCCAGGAAAATTATTTTTAGGCCGACCGATCGGACGTCCTTTTTTGCGTCCCCTAAATTTCGAACCGCTCGGAAACGTCGCCAAAATCCAAATAAATAAAGCGTTTTTCCAGGGGTATTTCGGCCACATTTATCAGTTGTAATTTGTAGTCTAAACTTCAATTATTGCCGGCAAAAGGTGAAATTCGCGCTCGGCCTAGCAAAACGGAATTTGTCTAACTGTAAAATGGGGACTAAAACGTACCGTATTGAGAGACGTCGATCCATCCGGGTCCCTTCATGCCCGTCTCCACCAGCAGCCTCTCCATCGCCGTCGACGTCGTGTTGGCCACCATGCGAAACGTGGCGCCATGGGTGTCGGCGGGGATCCGTGGCAGCGAGCTGCTGTACAGCACCTCGAACACGTCCATTTTGTCGCCGGCCACGCCCCCGTTCTCACAATTCATCAGCCGCTTTTCAGACTGAAAAAAAAGAAGTTTTTTCTCCACTCAAAGTCCGGTTTTTCAGCATTATCGAGGCGGGGTAAGGACCGAACTTTTTCTGTTTAAGTCCAGAAGCGCATAGTAGCTTAATAGAAAGTGTTTCAATAATGTTTTTGGTAATATGTAAATTTTGTTTTGAACTAGAAAAACTCTCTAAAAACCTTGAAAAAAAGTCGAAATCTTGGTCCAAAATCGGCCGAAAAATCAATATTTTTGATATTCTTACTAAAAATATGTGTTTTCATGTTTAGGAATACTAAAAAATCACTTAGAAATAATTGCACTATTTATATTTGAAGAAGAGATCCTAACGAAAGAAGTTGGTCCCCCCATGCGGAAGAACCCAAAATCTATACCTTTGGAGGGCATTTGAAGGTGGTGATGCCAAATTGAGGCTGGGCGAGCAGCTGGCTCACTTCATCGTACAGCTCCTTCTTGGTGACCGGTTGATCGGTGAGGGTACCGTTGACAAAGTGCGTCTCGCGAGGGATGAAGTAGACACGTCGAAGCACTTTCTCCACCACGATACAACAACTTTCGTGGTGGCCGGCGGCCACTTCTACTTTGCCGAATAGATAGACGGTGCCCGGCCGTTTCACGGAATCTGAAAAAAGCTGTAAATCTTTTCTGTAAACCGACTTTTTCCCATTTAAGGAGAGGCACTTTACAACATTGATTTTATACGATTCTGAGACGCGAAAATGACAAATATAGCATTTTCGACAAAAAAAGCTACATTTTTAACGAAAACGTTAAATTTTATTCTTCCTGAGCGTAAAAACTTTACAATTCTATTTCGAAAAAAGCAAAACATTTCATTTTATCCAAAATTGCAAATTTCAAAGTTTTGGAAAGTCGTCTCATATGAAATCTCGCTAATTTCAATGAAGATGCTATTGCGATTAACTTATTAGGAAATTCCAAAGTCAAAAGAAGAGCTCGTCAAAGAAACACATCTTGATTTGCTCAAAAAGTGTCGAAAATCACCTTCAAATGCGTCGAGCCAGTACATCCTGACGACGGGCACTTCCTTCACCGTCCCATCAGCTGCCGTCTCGGTCGTCTTCTGATAGAAGAGCTCCTCGCCGACGGGTGTCTCCTTTTGCACTTCTTCTTCACCATCATCGAGCTGTTCGTGGGCCGGCCAGTCGGTGTCCTCGAAGTTTGCCACGTTTCGTGGCGCCTCGGCTTCGACTTTTCGAACGGCCGCTGGATTTGGGACCTAAACAAGGACTTATGTCAAAATTTACTTTTATAGTTTCTAACATAAAGCTATAATTTTTGTCGGAAACGAGCCAGTGATGTTCAAAATGTGGTTTCCAATGATAAAAGAGCCGGAAAGAAGATTTTGAGGAAATCAGAACTTTTTGCAAAATTGAGGACCACGAAAAAAACCGTCAAATAAATAATAAAAAATAAATAAATAAAAAATTCCTTAACAAATTAAAAAAATCAAATACCGTTGTGGAATCGACGGCTGCGCTCTCTTCATGGTCATCATAGTCGGCCGCTCCATAGAAGTCGTCATCGGCGGGCTCGTCTTCAACGACCACTTTCGCGGATGAAGAAGCTGTGGAGGTGGCCATCGGTGGTGGGCGCTTTTTGATGGGCTGTATGGTGGCGCGGCTTGGCGTGGTCGAGAGCCGACTTTTCTTGATGGCTCCGGTCAGTGGTTTCGGGAGAAGTGAGGCTCATCTTGTGCGGGGCGCTTCTTTGAGAATGGATTTCGGGGCGTGAGGGTTGGTGCCTCGGCTTCTGCCTCATCCAGCTCGTCGAGAAGCTCCAACAGATCCGCGTCCGCATCCAGCCGGACGGTCGACTCGTCGATTTTCGGCTTATTCACGGAGATCGCGCCGGCGCCGAAGAACTTTGAGATGCCCTTCTTCTTTTCTAAAAAAGTTAGCTCGAAAATGACGAATTCAGCGCACCTTTCTTTTCCTTTTTTCTTTCTTCTCGCCCTTGGCATCCTGGCACTCGTTCTCATCGCCGAAATCGTCAAGCCCGGTATCGATGTAGCCGGCGCCATCTAAAAAGGCATTTTTGAAGCTGGAAAAATATTTCTCACCATCGTCGTCGACAAAATTGTCGCGTTGGCGCTGCTTGATGATCTCCTGGTACTCATCCTCGTTCACTTCTTCGTAGACATCCGGAATGTCGGAGCCGTCGATCTGAAAACAAAAGATTAATCAAAAAGGCGTCGATTCAACGGACCGTTTGGCGGGATATGCCACTTCGTCTGGCCTCTTTGAAACGGCTGAAGGCGTCGGCCTTCTTCGAGGTGGCGGCCGTGCGGCGGCTGCGGCGGCCGGTCGGCTCTTCCTCTGCCGACATTCCTGCAAAGCAAACGAATAATCGGATACTTTTCGAAAAAAGCAGCGAGAATGTGAATTCGAAAATACGATAGAAGAATAGAATAATAAAGAATAGAATAGAAGTGATGATAGAAATAGTTCTTAGATTTTTAGCGTTGATTAATGACACCGGAAGAGTTTTTCCGCGGGTCTTGGCGCGTTGTAAGTGCCTAAAATCACGTTCTTATAATCTAAACGTGCGGAATCCAGGCCGAGCGTAAATTGCTCGAAATTTCAAAAACTTTTAGTCCGAAAAGCGGGACTTTCGGAAAACGTAGATACACCCACAGCGTTACCGGGTTACAGGGCGCTGTGTAGAAAGTAAGAATTCGGTCTGGACGCTGGATGAATCTGGAGGAATCAGCCGTTTTCTTTTGATTTTGCCGACCCAGTTTGAAGAAAAACCTACTCCAAAGCATAGATATAGCTTTAGAGCGCTCTAGCTTCGAAGATTTGCGTTAATTACGAACCATCGACGCTTCGAGCGCTTCGTCCGCTCGAAATGTTGTTTCTTTGCCAAACTTATAAAAAATTAAAAGGGCAAATATCTAATAATTTGCTGTGCGGTAAGGGGGTTTTTCGGACTGGATCGGCGGCGCGCTGCAAACTCGTTGCTTGCATTGCAATGTTCCCAAATTGGATAAAAATCTTCTTTCTAGATTCCTGTGTGAAATCACCTGGCTTTTGCATCATAAAACTTATTTAGGGATCTAAAAATATGGCCATTCTTTACCATTTTCGTGCTGTTATTTTCTACTTAAAACTAGTTTAAATTTCCAGGAAAATGCGGATTCAGCTACGCTGCAACTACATTGAACAGGACATTGACATTTCTATAGGTAAGTGCTCTTTCTGATGTTTTTGATAGTATTTTTAGGCGATGAATCGGAAGAAGGCAGTCAAGCCCCACGCACGTTGGCCGAGTTCCGGAGGGCCGCCGCCGAGTTGTACGGCCTCGACCCCGAGCGCATCAAGTTTGTTCATGGTCGGTTACCATTGTTTATCATCAATTCTTTTTTTTCAGCGGCCAAGATGATCAACGAGATCGAGCCGGGCGAGCGTCTGCTCAGCGAATTCGGCTTCAAGAGGGCGAGCGTGTCGTGCTGATGGGCCGAGCGATGGCGGTGCGTTTTTTCGAGTTTCACGCCCTTAGATTTGCCTTTTTTTCAGGAAGACGCTGGCTTCAAGCGGTTGTTTGACTACGAGAAGAGCCTCACCCTTCCAGGGAAACATTCGCGAAGCTCGGTGTCGACCTCGGGGAGCTCGAGAAGGGATTCCTTGAAGGTAAATAAGTCTCTACGAATCCTCGATGTTCTTTCGCATTATCCGTGGGGGCGAACCTTTTTGCATACGTCTTGAAATGTCGAGTACTCAATAGGAAATGTTTGAATAGTGTTTTTACTCAAATAAACCCGTATTCCTACTAGGAAAACTATTTAAAAACTTTTAAAGTTGCAATTTTGGCCGTTTTTGGTCGAAAAATCTATATTTTTGACTTTAATAGTTTTTTACCGTTATGAATAAAATATAAAATTAGGAACGGTTTGAAAACACTTCAAATATTCATTGGAAAAATTAGATCATAAGCAAAAATCTGGTCCCCCGATGATATGAAATAATACATCTGTATTTCAGGCTCACAACGAAAGGAGGCGATACAGAAGATGGACAAGCGGATACGGACATTCAACGAGATAGGCATTCGACATCTCGAAGGGCTCGACGCCATTGAATTGACGTCGGAAGCGAGCACGCCCTCTCAGGTACATTTTCCAGCTTATACCAGGCTCTTCCCCGCCGCCTCCAATTCTTGAATTAACCCGTGATTTTTGCAGGTGCAACGGAACCGGGAGAAGCGAAAAGCCCTCATCAACGGCATCGACAAGTTGCTCAATTTGAATGAGAAGTACAATGGAAGTTAGCCGGAGTATCGTCAGCATTGAAGCGCAGGAAGAAGCCGAAAAAGTCAAGTAACCCTTGCTTATTCCCTCGCACGCTGCTTTATCGTTCACTTTTGCGGTTTCTGCAATTTTCCTATTTCGGTGTTTCATCGATTTTGCTTTCGAAATAAATTTTTTTGCAGGCGGGAAAATAGCTTATTAGCTTAATTATAGTAAATATGTTCAAGTGTTTTCAGTAAATTAACTATATTTTAATTGACAACTCGAACAAGTAAATCTGGAAAAGTTTTTGGATTAAAAAAACACATCGATATTTTGATCATAATTTAAAAGTTCTTACGTTCAGGAATGGGAAAAACAGTTTACAAACACATCCTGTTTAAAACAGAACAAAGGTTGGTTCCCGCTCGAAACAGGACAGATCTCATGATGTGCAATACCTAAATCATTACAAGGTAAAAATCTTTTTATTGCACGGGTAGCTCAAAATACAAATTAAAGCAGTATGTAAGCCAGTCAATTGGAGCCCGCTCTCCACCGTTCCGTCCACCTCCATCGTCGTCTTCTATTTTCCCGCTCATCCCAACCCGGAGAATAGTGAGAACTTTGCATTGTCATCTCCCATCCACATATTTCCATTATCATCCCTCTGCCATGGGCCTCTCCAGCCACCTCCTTGCTGTTGACGCCGCACACGGAGACCTGCAGAAAATCCATTGAAAAGACTCCGGAAATTTAGAAGCCCTCCGATTCGGCAAAGAATCTCTGCTAGCCTGCGCTCCGTTTCCCAAATATTCCTACCATGTAGCGGAGAATATTGAGGAGCTGCTTGTACTGCACAGAGGGCGATGAGGAGGACGAGCAACACCAGATTACGCAGCATCTTCGTCAGGGTCGGCTGAAATTTTGCATGGAAGGTTTGGTAATGGAAAAGACAAGTAAGCAGCGGAAACACTTTGAGAATTAATGACGGGTTAGCAGGGATTCGGAATCGGAGGGCAGGCTAGCAGAGATTCTTTGAGGAATCGGAGGACAGGCTAGCAGAGATTCTTTGGGGAATCGGAGGGCAGGCTAGCAGAGATTCTTTGAGGAATCGGAGGGCAGGCTAGCAGAGATTCTTTGAGGAATCGGAGGGCAGGCTAGCAGAGATTCTTTGATGAATCGGAGGGCAGGCTAGCAGAGATTCTTTGAGGAATCGGTGGGCAGGCTAACAGATATTTTTGTGTGATAAGGGCGGCTAGTGCCATTTTTTGTACGAGGCCGGCAGCGGATTGGCGCCTGGAACGAAAACAGGCTGATCGGTTTGACGGTCCAATGCTGGATGACCGATCCTTTATACACTCTGTCAACTAACTATAGAATCAAGCTGTTTTTTGCCCGTAACTTTCTTTCTATTGGATCGGTTCGACTCCTGAAAATATTAGTGTGGCCCTTCTTTGATAGCAGAAAACTGTGTGCAAAGTCTGGAGGAGAACCGATTTGTGGAAGGTACGAATCCGGAAAGCTTCGTTCTGAACTTTGTCAAAAACTATAGAATCACTTTTAAATCACCGATTTTTCTACCCGTTTATCTTTTCCGACCATTTTTTTCCAACGAGCATACATTTCTTTACACAAGAACTATACTTTTGATTGAATAGTTTAGGCGTCCAAGCTCAGAACAGGATTTTCCAAAAACTGAATTTAACAAAGAAATCCACATTTTTCTAAAATTCTGACAATAAACAACTATGGAAAAATATGTCACTTTGCCTGCTGAAAGAGCATTCCAAGGTACACATTTGTTTATTGGAACCTACCCTCCATTTACGAACGTTCGTCCCTCTACGGTCACTTTAGTGTTTGGCCGCGGCTCCTAAGGTATTTTCCTGACCATTTAACAAAGGACACGTGGCGTCGACGGTTCGACAGAGCATATCTTGCCGTCAGGCTGCTTCCCGGAAAAACGAAACGCACCTAAGGTACTCGCTGTCAACTGCGCATTCCTGAGGTACAATCAACATTTAGGAAATACAATTTTGATATGGCAGAATTTTAGAAAATGTGGATTTCTTAGTTAATTCTAGGTTTTGGGCAATCCTGTTCTGAGCTTGGACGCCCAAACTATTCAATCAAAAGTATAGTTCTCTGTGTAAAGAAATGTATGCGCGTTGGAAAAAAAATGGTCGGAAAAGATAAACGGGTAGAAAAATCGGTGATTTAAAAGTGATTCTATAGTTTTGACAAAGTTCAGAACGAAGCTTTCCGGATTCGTACCTTCCACAAATCGGTTCTCCTCCAGACTTTGCACACAGTTTTCTGCATCAAAGAAGGGCCACACCTAATATTTTCTGAGTCGAACCGATCAATAGAAAGAAAGTTACGGGCAAAAAACGTTGATCTATAGTTATTTGACAGAGTGTAGGCCGTTCTCATGACGGGGGAGGGGGCAGAGAGTAGCGAAGGGGCAGAGAGAGAACTGATCTCCTTCAGATCCCAGGTGCGAAACATCAAAGCAATTGGAACCGGTCAACTCTCGATCATGAGCTAATAATTACCCGGTCAAATGATGGCCACGCTCCGAAATGTTTCTCTCTCTCTCTCTCTCTCTCTCTCTCTCTCTCTCTCTCTCTCTCGGGCACCCTCATTTTCGACACATTTTGGGGAGCAGCCTGGCTATTTCTGGGAGATATTGGGTGCGCCGGAAACCGTTTCGTTAGGCTCGTTCGATTTTGTGTGGGTCATTTTCTGATCCCTCTCCACGTGCCGATTTCTATATTATACCTGTGTAATTAAGATAGTGTATGTCACCGTACTCTAAGCTCACTCTCACACTCTCTCTCTATCTCACTATCTCTCTCTCTGTCTCTTTATGTCTCTTTTTCTTTCTAAAATTTCGCCAAAAATTTTAAGCAATTGGCCCTTTAAAGCTAGAATCTTAATTTCTAGAATTTTTAGCAAAAATCAAAAAGTCCGGAATGCCGGGATTTGAACCCTCGTTATGTGCCTGGAAAGCGAACATTTTACCAATCAGCTATGTGCAACCGAATGTCCGATGCCAGCTAATTTACTGTCGTAATTCACTTTTAAAACCTATGAATATGAATCTTTTCTTTTTATTATCTTTTTGGACTCTTTTGCGCTTACAACGAGCTTGTCAACGTGAGAAAATCCGAGGAGCCGAACTCCCCGATCTTTTCACAGGAGAGAAAGGGAGAGAGAGCAGAGAGAGAGAGAGAGAGAGAGAAAGAGAGAGAGAGAGAGAGAAAGCGATCTAGCGGTTTGGCTTTCGATCGCGCGTCCCCGAGGAGTCCTTGATTTCTGCTGGCTGCAGACCTGCCGATCAAAACCCATATTTCCCAATTTTCCCAATTTTTCGGAGATTTTAAAGGGATTGGTAAGGGGGCGATCGACGTCTTAGATTCTTATTGGTTGGCTGTTTGTTCTTTTACACTATCCGGGGGCGATCTATTTAGCAACTTAAACTAAGATGTTTTATTGGTATTTTAGCAAAAGTTAACTATTTTTTAGGTAAAAAAGAAACAAAAAAATCAGAACAAAATGTCTTGAAGGTAAAGTTATGGTCGAAAACCGGGTGTTTTTGGTCCAAAAATCGACAATTTTGTATTTTTTAAGCAAAATCTGTAAAGGTTTTAAGCTCAAGGATCGTAAAAACGCCTTAGAAACATTTGCGCTATTTAGAATAGGCAAATTGGATCGGTAGAAAAAGCCCGCCGAAAATTCCACTGTAGTACGGAGCTGGTGCTCTAACGTTGTTGGTCGTTGTGCTCACCCACCGCTCCCAAATCCAAAGTTCAAAGCCTAGGATGACATATCGTCTTGACCATACGTCCCTCTCTCTCACCTTCTTGCTCTCTCTCTCTCTCTCTCTCTCTCTCTCTCTCTCTCTCTCTCTCTCTCTCTCACTTACTCTCTCCCCTTTCTCTCTCTCTCTCTCTCTCTCTCTCTCTCTCTCTCTCTCTCTCTCTCTCTCTCTCTCTCTCTCTTACTCTCTTTTCCTCTCGCTCTCTCTTCCTCACTCTCTCTCTCTCTCTCACTCCCTTCTCTCTCTCTCTCTCTCTCTCCCTCTCTCTCTCTCTCGCTCTCTCTCTCTTCCCATTCGCAGGCAGAAACCATTGTCCCTCGATGATCTGATGACATCACATCAGCTGTCTCCCCGGTTTTCAACCCGGGTTTTCCGGAAAGAAAAGAAACCGGAAACTTTCGCGGGGTGGCTAGTCATTAGTAATTTAAGGCTAGTCATTTAAGAATTCAGTGGTTCCAGATGGAAATCTATCCTAAATGGCTTCTGCTAGCTTGCCCTGCGTAAGAAATTTGCGATTTCAATAGCATAGATCTGATAAACAACATAAGCAACCAGATCGGAACCGGAAAACGGTTCAAAATGTGCCCTTTCTTGGGGAAATATCTCATTAATTTTCGACTGTCTATACCAGAGTGGACCTGTAGACACAAGAGGTCTCAAGAAAACAACACTAAAAATAGCCATAATACTTTAGACAAATTTTAACTTCGAGTCGCTCAAAGAATCTCTGCGGAGCCTGCCTCCGATTCCTCAAGAGAACTCTGCAGCCTGCCCTCCGATTCCTCAAAGAATCTCTGCGAGCCTGCCCGCCTGATTCATCAAAGAATCTCTGCTAGCCTGCCCTTCGATTTCTCAAAGAATCTCTGCTAGCCTGTTCCCCCGCGGCCGGTTCATTCAAGTTTTCGACGGCACAAAAACCCCATTATGTAAATTTCCCTTCCCTACCATCCAGCTACACGAAGCACCGTTTTATGCAAATTCCATTGGCTGAATGGGTGGCCTTGGGGCGATGGTATAAAAGGACTCAGGCGGTACCATAACGGTCTCCCCCATTCTTTCTAAAATGCACCAACCGGTGCCCCACTGTATCCCTAAGTGTGGTGGCTATATTTCTGGGTTCAGCGCTTATTTCGATCGTTCGAATCGTTGATGATATTAATGATTTTCATCACAAGGTAAATTTAATAAAAAAGAGCAGGGCAGGCTAGCAGAGATTCTTTGGGAAAACCATGAGAGTTTCAGACCGAAAACGCGCTCCACGAATTTGAGGCCCACTTCGACGATGCTTGGCTTATCATCCGTCCAAAAAGACAAGCCGAGTACGATCAACAATACGTACGTAGCCAGTTGTATCGCGTAGTTACGCTGGATTTTTTAGTCAAGCTCCCCGGACGCAGCGATAGAAGCCTTCCGTGTTCCAGAATGTCCGGCCGGTCCGCCAGGGCCACCAGGAGAACCGGGGCATGTATGTCGAAGCATTAATGATAAATACCCCTAAAATTTTTAGGATGGCCCAGACGGCCAAGTGAGGGGCCAACAACAGGCTAGATGGTGGCCACTCGATCCAAAACCGCGAATCGTTAGCCTGTATCCAATGCCCTGAGGGCCCAGCTGGACCTCCGGGCCCTAATGGACCCGCTGGGCCTGGGCATCACCGGGATTAATGGAATACCTGGTAAGCTCTAAGGTTTTGCGCATTAATGGCGGTATAGGGCCGAGAAGCCCGCCTGGACGGCCTGGACCCCGGGACAAAAGAGGAGATGCCGGAACTAGGGGAAATAAAGGAAAAAACGGAATCAGAGGCCAACCCGGTCTCAACTTCAAGAAGGTCATCAACAGGATTGGGCCAAAGGGACCCAATGGTCCAATTGGGCCACAGGGACCGATTGGGCCACAAGGGCAGACAGGAGCTCCTGGAACGAACGGTAAGCCAGCAGAGAGCCTGTGCGGAATTTGTAGGCGATCCTAGAGTATCCGAAACAAGGTCACATAATACCTAACATGTCTTGTAACAGCTCTTATCGTAGCTTAGCGTAACTTCGCGTGGAGGAGCGGCAAGTAGTATTCTAGCGTGTCGTTTCGCAGTGTATCGTTTCGTAGCGCTCAGTAACCTATGGTTGGTATCGTATTTTATCGTACCAGAGCGTAGCGTATCCTAACGTGTCCTAACGGGAAATGGTATGGATATTGCCTTTTCGGCGTAATTTGTAGCGTATCGTAGTGTCCCGTAGCTCCTTGGTATGGACGGGGTTTTGTAACGTATTAAGCCAAGCCTAAGCCTAAGCTTAACCTAAGCCTAAGCCTCAGCCTAAGCCTAAGCCTAAGCCATCCTAAGCCTCAGCCTAAGCCTAAGCCTAATCCTAAGCCTAAGCCTAAGCCTAAGCCTAAGCCTAAGCCTAAGCCTGAGCCTAAGCCTATGCCTAAATTGCATAGTATGACATAGTCAGGTACTGTAATCTTCTAGGTATCCCCGGTGAACCTGGCGCCCCGGGCCGTAGCGGTTTTCCCGGCTCTGAAGGTCTTCGAGGAGTTCGTGCTGCTGCCGGAATGCCCGGAAATGACGCTGCATACTGCCCTTGTCCACCACGGTAATTTTTTTGAATTTTTTTGGAGAGTACGGTAGCTGAATAGTTGGCTTTTTTTAAAAACGACCTGAACGTTGTTTAATCTCTAATATTCAGTTCGATGGGCATCGAGTCGACGTATGCGGTTGAGCCGACCGGATATGGACGACGACGACGATTTTGAGAAAAAGCCAAACAATAAATATTGGCTGTCGAGACTCTTTTTTGGGTCAGGGGCAAACGAGCAAAGATTCTTAGAGGAATCGGAGGGCAGGCTAGCAGAGATTCTTTGAGGAATCGGAGGGCAGGCTAGCAGAGATTCTTTGAGGAATCGGAGGGCAGGCTAGCAGAGATTCTTTGAGGAATCGGAGGGCTGGCTAGCAGAGTTTCTTTGAGGAATCGGAGGGCAGGCTAGCAGAGATTCTTTGAGGAATCGGAGGGCAGGCTAGCAGAGATTCTTTGAGGAATCGGAGGGCAGGCTAGCAGAGAATCTTTGAGGAATCGGAGGGCAGGCTAGCAGCGATTATTTTCTTTCTTAATCGTCCCTAACATACTCCACCCTAAAAGCTGGATGTTCCGTTTCCGTCCGGTGTGTACGGTTTGATCGTGTTATCCGGTAGTGAAACGGACTGTCGGGATGGAAATTGAGGTGAAAAAGCGGGAACAAAAGCCCTCAATTGCTGGGGGGGTCTCTCATCCTCCTTCCTCATGCTCCTCCTCCCTCCCAATCCGACATCATAAAAGCGTATCGCGAAGACCATTTCCCCCCTCATTCCCTCCACGATGACCGAAAAAGCACCGACCACCACGAACTCCCGGAAACCACGTGAGTTTTTGGAAGCCTTCACTAAGGCTGCACTACACTCTTAGCGGGGGGGGGAGAGTTATAAGTTATCGAAAGCCTTTACCTGTGGTGTTGTTCGTACCTTTTTATTGATTATTGAAAAAGCTCCTAACTAGGGAAGTCCAAGATACCCGCAACACGGATCGGGCTGAAAATTGGCACACTTATAGAACCGACCATGCTGATCATCGCCTCGTTTTCCGAATTTGCTACAGAGCTTAAATAATTAAGATATTTAACTTTTAAACTGCGCAAAAAAAACCCGCCACCCTGGCTCACTGGGGTGGCGGGGTTGAAGAGGCCTTTCGGAAGCCCCTTTCCCAGAGCTCCGGTAGTCAACTGGTAAGCGTCTCGCTTCCCAGGTGGAGGGTCCGGGTTCGGACCCTGTCGGCGCACTTTTTTTTTGCTTTTTCCTAATTTTGCGCCGCACACGTGGCGCGTGTCCAGATTGTGCTTTGTAGACGCATACAAGCCGGTTGCTGCGGTGGTATTACGAAATACCGGTTTTTACGATTTTTTACAGGTGTTATTGTTATTATTTTTTCGTAAATTTATGATTTCGTTGAATTTCATTTTTAGGATGCTTGGGATTTCGCTTGCGCGAGTTTTTCTTACTTGTCGGTGAAGTACGGGGTCGCGGATCTGAACTCCCCGTTCTCGGAGCAGGAGGCCAAGCTAGCTGATATGTTAGAAAGAATCGCGCAAGGTGGTGCTGAGGCCGACACTTTTTTCTTCGAGGAGACGGATGAAGAAGCTGTGCTCGAGGATCATGAAGATTACCAAGTCGAACAATGGGACCATGATGACAAGAAGCTCGCCCCGATCACAGCCCACGATGCGGAGAACTTCATCTTCGGCGGAGTCCGAGTGGACATGGATAAGGTCGACCATTTTTTTCAATTGACTTCAGATTTCAGGTCAAATCGGCAATCGCTGACCTTCACTCACCAAAATCTGGTTTTCGGCCGCTCCGGAGTATGGCACAGAGACATCGATGGGTGAAAACCGCTTGGCATCTCCGCAGACTCAAAGAGTTGAAAAAACAAAGTTGGTTTTCCCGATGATTATGCACTTCAGTTCAGAGGAACTTTATGGAAATCGACTAGCACGATTGAGGAAGTTGGGCGAGTTGCTCAACGAGAAGATATTGGAACAAATCGACCAAGGTATAGGCCACAGCCGCTTTAAAACTGCCACTATCCTCTTTAGGAATCCCGCTCCGTGCATCCGACATCCAGGAACTGGCATTAAGGATTAACGAAGAGCATCTGAAGATCCCAATTTTACGGCCTCTTCTTCATGGATAGCAAATTTCACCGTATGTTTCAATTTTATTTTACCGCTTGACGTTTAGAAATCACATAGCTTCGTTTCCCGAAAAATCAACAAGTTCGTGACTACAAAACATAAGCAAGACCAAGCTGGGATCGAGAAGAGCGCAAAGGAATATGTGGCGAAAATTAGGCAAATTGCCGATGTGAAAGGGCCAGCAGTTCTGGTTAACTGTGATCAGACGGGCTTGGTAAAGGAGGCATACGGAGCTCGAACTATGACGTCCCGTGGAACGAAAATGTGAGTTACTCATTGATAAAAAATGTCCTGATTTAGCGTCGAAGTCGTAGCCCAACGAAGCACAGCACTGACCCATAGCATCACGTACATGCCGGCCATTTTTGGAGACGGACATCTACTCGGGACTGCATACGTCGTGCTATCGGAAACTTCTGGTCACCTCCCCGCGAAGTACTTCAACCCACCAAATCTTTATGTCGATGCGGGTCGTTCGCATATAATGAGCAAGGCTCATTTGGAGAGTTTCCTGCGAAACGTTTTGGGTAATCCCCAAGTAAACTCCCGCACTACGATGGTTTTGATGGTTGATTCATGGCCGCCGTTCCGCGACCACGACGCGATGAAGCAAGCATTGGGTGCTGGAGTCACTATCGAGGTATATTGAAAATAAGGCACTAACCACCGGTTCAGGTTCATAATATTCCGCCGGGCGCCACAGGACTTGTTCAACCAGCGGATGTTTATTTCTTTTTGCCTGCGAAGTGCCTCTTCCGCCGCATTGCGAGCCGAATCCGCTTGTTCGGTTTCATATTTATCGTCAGTGTTCGCGACAACCTTTTGAAATTGGTCGCCGTCATGCACCATCAGATGGGCGCCGCCGTCTTTTTGCCGCTACGTGAATATGCCTTCATCAAGGTGGGGTATGTACCTGCCAAGAACATGCCTCCGGCTCCTTGCGAACTCCCCTCTACCGCATGCTTTCCCCCGGGAATTTCTCTCCGACCGTGTGGCGAACCGGGCTGTGCACAAAAATCCTTCATGTTCTGTGCCGTTTGTTCCACTCCATTTTGTTTTCACCACATGATCGAAGAGTGTCATATTTGTTGATTATTTTCACCGTTGTAGTTGTTATATCACCGTTGTTAACATACCGCGTTAGTTATTTATATCGTATGTTTTTGTTATTAGTTCCAAATAAAATAGTTAAAATTTGTGCTTCGTCGCAAAAATCCCTTAAAACCCCCGTCACGATGCAAATGAGAAAAATTCAGAATTTCTGGCGACCAAAAAGCAAAAAAAAAGTGCGCCGACAGGGTCCGAACCCGGACCCTCCACCTGGGAAGCGAGACGCTTACCAGTTGACTACGGAGCTCGGGGAAGGGGCTTCCGAAAGGTTCAACCCCGCTACCCCAGTGAGCCAGGGTGGCGGGTTTTTTTGCGCAGTTTAAAAGTTAAATATCTTAATTATTTAAGCTCTGTAGCAAATTCGGAAAACGAGGCGATGATCAGCATGGTCGGTTCTATAAGTGTGCCAATTTTCAGCCCGATCCGTGTTGCGGGTATCTTGGACTTCCCTAGTAAGACCCCGTCTGGAAAGTCTTAAAGATTCAAAATGAGTGTCATTTTCAATAATTTTAATAATCTTTCATACCCCCGGTAACAGACCAGTACGGTGAAAGCTAGCAACCGCCATTTCCAAAGCCAGCCCAGCTAGCAGCGACCACCGGAGCAATCGGGCAACCTACCAGGGATTCTTTGACAAGGCTGCTCGGTCGGCTTATAGAAAGTGATAATTTATGGCTAAAATTTGTTTTATAGATTTTTTTCCCCGAAAAACCCCTGGAAAACTCGCTACCAAGGGCTATATTTCAGTATTTGGAAGCACGGGATCGCAGGAAATTTCGTTTTATTCGTCATTTGAGCCCATTTGTTCTTCACACGAGAACGATTATTCTTCCAGTATTTTCGCCGAGCTTCTCTTCGGCCCTCCGGTGTGTTTGCCGCCTATTAATATGTGACGTGTACAGGTAAATACAATTTCCGGTCGACAGTCTTAACTTGCCATGGCCTTTTTATGGCCGCTAGGAAAGATTGTATTCGCGCTGCGGTTTTATTGCTCCGTAGACACGCCACTTCCGGCCCCAAACGGTTTTACAACTGCGCAGAGTTTCTTTGAGGAATCGGAGGGCAGGCTAGCAGAGATTCTTTGAGGAATCGGAGGGCAGGCTAGCAGAGATCTTTTTGAGGAATCGGAGGGCAGGCTAGCAGAGATTCTTTGAGGAATCGGAGGGCAGGCTAGCAGAGATTCTTTGAGGAATCGGAGGGCAGGCTAGCAGAGATTCTTTGAGGAATCGGAGGGCAGGCTAGCAGAGATTCTTTGAGGAATCGGAGGGCAGGCTAGCAGAGATTCCTTGAGGAATCGGAGGGCAGGCTAGCAGAGATTCCTTTGGAATGCTAACGACATATTTCTAGAGAAAAAGACGGAAAAGATGATCGTTTCTATGGGGACCAACGGCATCGCCTGGGTGTAATCGGAGATGGAATGGATGATCTGAAGCATCGAATCAACACCACAACTATGATCTCGAAAAGAAAAAAGACGGCCGCTGGCAATAAATAAATTCGAAGCTCAGTCTAAGCTAATCGTTTTCCAAAAAGCTTCAGCAAGGTAATGGCATTTTGCGAAATTTTTGCAAAGCCAGCTTGTACATGCCAAAAAACGTAAAAAGCAAGTCTAAGCCTAAGCCTAAGCCTAGGCCTAAGGCCAAGCAGCTAGGTCAAGGCGGAAAATTAATTAAATGAACTCCATGAACTCCATTCGGAAATCCCCCCCCCCCCGCTAACAAACCAGTACCGAAGATCCAGAAATTCCGCTACAATACCCTTGACAGCCGCACGGATATCAGCCACAGCCCATTTATTCAAAGATCATCACAATTTCAGGCGATCAGCTTTTTTGGTGCTGTGGTAGAGGTCGGGCGGGATGGGCCATGCTCGAGTTGTAGCAGGGCAAATCGTAGAAGGCGGGCAGGTATTGTGGCGTCCTTTCGTATTTGGTCGGGGCTGAAAATGGGGTGGGTTACGGTAGATATTGATAGTGCTCACTTATCGAGCAGCTATCTGGTTCAATTTTCTTAAAAACGCTATTAAAATATGCCTATTACGTAACTAAACGCTTCAAAGCTCATAGAAAAAAAATTTGCTTCCCCCGATAACGCAAAAGCTCCGCCAGATGTGGATTCAGACCTTGGATGGCAATGAAGACGATGGCCCATGTTGGAGCAGCGGGATAGGGGGAAGCTGGAAATGACAAGGATAGCAGGGGTTCTTTGAGGAATCGGAGGGCAGGCTAACAGAGATTCTTTGAGGAATCGGATGGCAGGCTAGCAGAGATTCTTTGAGGAGTCGGAGGGCAGGCTAGCAGAAATTCTTTATATTCTTTATATACTCTAGCAGATTTATATACTCGACGGACCCCTCATGGAGTTGCAGCCGGTGCGTTAGAATTGATATTTCAGGCCGATTTCGAAGGGTTACGTAACCCCACGTTTTGCCGATTTTACAGTAATCCATGACGAAAAACCCGGATATTTCAGATCGAATCGGCGCGAAAGACGGTACTCTACGAAGCGCGACAAATCAAGGCGTTGTTATTGAAAGTTATCAACTATTGAATGTAAAAAGCGTGTTCTTTATCTGATATCTCTCTCGCTATCTTGCTCTCTCGCTTTCTCTCTCTCTCTCTCTCTCTCTCTCTCTTTATCTCTCTCCAGCTCTCCCCCTCTCTCTATCTCTCTCGTTCTCACTCTGTGTCTCTCTCTCTCGCTCTCGCTCGTCTCACACTTTTTGGATACAAAATTTCAAAATGTACAAATTCTCGGTTACTCAAAAAAAGTCAAGCATTTTACTCGCAATCAAAAGCTACTAAAACACATGAAATACATTATATAGCAAAAGTAAAGTATCTATGCTAACCCCCCCCCCCCGCTAACAGCCCAGTACCGAAAATCGAGAAATTCCCCGACAATACCCCAAACAACCGAATCGAAATTCATTTATTCAACGAGCAACACAAATTCGCGATTCAGTTTGGCTTTGTGAAGTCGTAGAAGCAGAAGAGGCGAAAGGAGGAAGAGTCGTAGAAGAGGCAGGCATTGTGGCGTCTTTTCGAAATTCTTGGGGGCTGAAAGAGGGATGAGATACGGTAGATTTCGAGAGAGCCCACTTTTCAAGCAGCTATATGGCGCCTTCCAGACGAGCTTCGGGACACAGATGAAGTACAGAGAGAAGATGCCAGAGAAGAAGGAGAGAAGACCACCAAACCTGAAAAAAAACGGATTAAAGAGACTGAGAAGGCAGGAGTTATAGGTTCACGGTGCTTTCGCATTATCGGGGGGGGGGTTTGGGTTTGGGGCGCCTCTGACTCCCTTCCCCACTTGGCCCCTGTGGTATAGTGGCTGAAGCGGCGTCCCGGACTGTAAAGCGAACCACCTGCGGGTTCGACCCCCCGCCCGGTGCGCAACTTGCTTGCTTTCAACGGAATTGCAACGTTCTGACAGTCTTTAAAGAAAAGTCCCCTCCCCGGTTAATGGTAAAGCACCGGCAGGTGTGAATTCTAACCTTTAAATGGATATGCGTGTGGGTTCAGGGGGTGACGGGTAGTGACGGTAGTTCGGGCAGAGGACGATCGGGTGAAGAAGTTGTGGTAGTTCTACTTCTTCTTCTTCTTGCCACCCAGCTCGCGGGCGG